AAAATCACTTACAGCATCGCTAAGAGCAACACTTAAATTGTAAGTTAATTTTGTTGAGTAGCTTTTATTCTGGAGCATATTTTATGTTCCAATCCAACGTCAACCCAAATTATATGATTCTTCAGAACCCGTAAACTCAGCTAAAAGTCCCCCCCCCCCCTCCCTCGGCCTTTGAGTCCTTAGACTTTGTGTAATCACAAAGCATTATCGCACTGTCAAGTTGGGGCTTTTAAAAAGTCAAGTGCCAGCTTGGATATATATGCATCTGAAAATAGGTAATTTACAAAGTTCAACATGGCGTTATGCATTGTGGATTATATAATGGGAAGTACATTGTTCCCGTTTTGTGTGTATATACTAATCCCTAACTGATAATTTATGTACAAAAGTAAACAAATATCTTACTTGTCATTACAGCAAGAAGTGAGCTGTGGACAGACAGACCCTGCTTGCCCTTAGAACCTGTAAGGTTCATTTTCTTGGCAAGTTCATTGTCAATGATTTTTCTGCAAACATTTCGAATGACAGCTTGAAGATTTTTACCCCCTACGAGGCTGAGGGAACGTACCTGAAGAGAAGGAAAAAATCTGTATAACTATCTAGTTTCAGATAATTTTTGTTCCCAATATTCCATGTTGTACATATGCTGAAACAATTTAAAGCAACTGATACCAAGAATTATCAATTCAAAATAATGAAACAAAATGAAAAAGGTTTGATTCGTTAAAATATAAGTACATGTACGTGATGTAGATTATGTCATGTGCTCACAAACTCTTGTGACGATTACAACATGTGCACACTAGTGAAATCATACATTATAGTAGTTTTCAAAATATGTGCAGGGAAAAAATCAATGCTGTATGCAGTTGAGACTAATATAACAACCAATCATAGCGCACCCCCGCCAGCAAGGATGCTGTTGCTACCCAAAGTTTATGTAATAGCAGGGATATTTAACTCACATACCCTGGTAATAGTACCCCTGTGAGGAACCACTGGACACCACTAAAAATGGGATGCATATGAGATGCCACATCACATCAGTAAACCCAGATTTTTGTGACTATATTTTGTGATCTGCCTGTACAAGAACCCATGCAGGGGCGTCTCCAAAGTGGGGTGTGGGGGGTGTGACACCCCCCCCCCCCCCACCTGTCAGGATTTTGTCGGTAAAATTGCGCTGCCGTCGGGAAAAAAGAGAAAAGGGGGAGGGGAAAAAAAGAGGGAAAAGGAAAGAAAAAGAAAAAAGAAAAGGAAAAGATGGAAAGGAAAGAAAAAAAAGGAAAAGAAAAAGAAAGGAAAGAAAAGAGAGAAAAAAGAGAAAAAAGAAAAACAGGGAGGAGAGGAAAGAAAGGAAAAGAAAGGAAACCAAGAAACGGGGGACGAAAGAGAGGAGAGAGAGAGGGGAGGGGGGGGGGGGTTGTTGGGTGGAGTTGTCTCTTCGAGGGAGCAAGAAAGACACGCTTAAATATGTTGTTGCTGTGTCGGTATTCTTGTTCGATCCTCGTGTACTATATCAATGCATAAGTTTGAAGTCGGTGAGATGTACAATGTCGGTCGGCCGACAAGTTTTTTTTCCCTACGACATGTGACTTTTTAATCCGCTGTGACGACTTCGAGAGTGACTACAACTACAATATTTGTATTTTCTCGAAGTTTCACTTTCCTATAATAATAACAGCTTAAGAAATCAGAGGTTTAAAATTTTCAGGGAAACTAAATTCAAACAAGGATTAAGAGTCAACAACCGTGCAACGAATCGTCTTCCTTTCTCTAATATATTGATGAAACGCCAGAGCGTCCGCGCTTCGCGCGGGAGGGGGGCAACTTCATTGACAAGGATTAAGAGTGGAGAACGGTACAACGAATCGTCTTCTTTCTCTAATAATTAAGGAAATGTCTTAGCTTCGCGCGGAAGGGGGGGAAACTGAATTCAGACAAGGCTAAAGAGTCGAGAACAGTAACACGAATCGTCTGCTTTCTCTAATTATTTAAGGAAATATCAAAGCTTCACGCTTCGCGCGAGAGGGGAAAATTGTATTCTGATAATTAGAAAACGTTACAACAAATAGTCTTCTTTCTCAAATAATTTAAGGAAACGTCTAAGCTTTCGCGCATCGCGCGGGAGGGGGCAAAACTGAAGTCAGACAATGATTAGGATCGAAAACGTTACAACGAATCGTCTTCTTTCTATAATAATTAAACTAAACGCCAAAGCTTTTCACGCGGGAGGGGGAAAACTGAATTCAGACAAGGATTTAGAGTCAAGAACGGTACAAGGAATCGTCTCCTTTCTATAATAATTCAATGAAATGTCAAAGCTTCCGCGCTTCGCGCGAGAGGGGAAAATTGTATTCTGATAATTAGAAAACGTTACAACAAATAGTCTTCTTTCTCAAATAATTTAAGGAAACGTCTAAGCTTTCGCGCATCGCGCGGGAGGGGGAATACTGAATTCAGACAAGGATTAGGGTCTAGAACGGTATAACGAATCGTCTTCTTTCTATAATAATTAAATGGAACGCCAAAGCTTCCGCTCTTCGCGCGGGAGGGGGAAACTGAATTCAGGCAAGGATTAAGAGTCAAGAATAGTACAACGAATCGTCTGCTTTTTCCTCAAAATGTAATGAAACATCATAGCTTGGGGAGAAACTGAATTCAGACAATTGGGGATAAGAGTAGAGAACGGTACAACAAATCATCTTTTTTCTATACGTCAAAACTTTTGCGGGAGGGGGGGGGGGGGACTTCATTCAAACAAGGATTAAGAGTCGAGAACGGTACAACGAATCGTCTTCTTTATCTAATAATTTTATGAAAAGTCTAAGCTTCCACGCGTCTCGCGGAATGGGAAACTGAATTCAGACAAGAAATAAGGGTCAAGAGCGGTACAACAAATCGTCTTCTTTTTCTAATAATTTAATAAAACGTCTAAGCTTTCGCGCCTTCCCCCCCCCCCTCCCGGAGTAGCTCACTACCGCCCCTCCCTAAAATAAGATCCTAGCTACGCGCCTACATTAATATATATATAGCTATGATGCTGACTAAGTTGACGAAATAATTCGTATATTTATGTCGTCAAGGAAAATGACAATCTGCGCATACGCAAGTACTAACTATAGATAGTTCATAGGAAAAACAATTTAGCCTTCGGCCCCGGGTTTATAGGGTTAAATTTGAAAAATTTGTAAAATTTATTTTGTCGGTAATTGGTGGCTAGTTTTGTCGGTAATCGTTGGCCTCCACCACCCCCCCCCCCCCCCCCCCCACTGAAAAAGGTCTAGCGACGCCCCTGAACCCATGCATATTACACATTATTACTAGTGGAACGCGTGAAAATCCACAGGCAGCTAGATAAATGAGCAATAGTTTGCATTGCATTCGGTGCTGTGAAATGAAATGTAAACTGCGTTGGTGAAATTTAGCCACAGTCGCGTGCTGGTTAGGACTTGACGGGAAACCCCTCAAATAATTTGCAAGTAATCCACCCCCTGTACGTTACTTTAAAAAAAAATTGAGCATTCAAATAGAGGGTGTCTCTCATGTTCTCATTTCCAAAGGCATGCCGGTACTTAATTGATGAGAAATTGCACTGCATTGTTTTCTATAATATAAAATATGTTGTTGATACGTTATATTTAACGGCGTAGTCCATGATATTAGATTTTCAACAAAAAGTATTTAAAATATCCTACAAGCATCTCACATCTGCAATTTGGGGATGTTCACTGGTACCAAATTTATTGCACACACACTCCATGCTTGCCACAAACAATATGTTCACGGGATGAAAACATTTATGAGGTTAATTTTCAGTCAGTCCATCGTGATTTTTTTTTTGGTATGTAAAGATAATCAGTTAAAGTCCTATTTTCATAACTTTAATTTGATACTTGACAAATCCCTCACAAAACACTAGTGCACCATCACTCCTCATAGGTGAACAAACAGGACTTTGATGTTTGAGTTTCACATTGTGGCCAGTCATGTATGGAGTGTGAGTAATAAATGTGGTATCAAATGAACGAGGAGAAAATGATCTTAATGAATATGTACATGTATAATTATTGTGGAATTAAATGATAATAAAGGAATAATCTGTCCTTGCATAAGATGTAAAGAAAAAAACATTACCAGCTTCTTTTTTGCCGCGGGATCTTGAACTATTTCGTTCAGCCGAACTAGTTCCTCGAATGAGCTGCTGGGAAGGTTTGGAAGCCCGGCCTCCTCCTCATCAGCAGCTGTGCGTAATCCTCCCAAACTTGCCTCAGCAAGCAATTGCAGTACTTGTGACAGCATCTGCTCTTGCTTATCCTGTTTTTGCTTTATGGCCTCCAAGGCAGCAAACATCCTTGTCACTACAATTTGAGAAACAAAATGTAACCTGATGAAGCTTCATTTTGATATATGATTCAGGCAGGCGCGTACGCAGGGGGGGGGGGGGGGGGTTAAACCCCCCCCCCTTCAGTTTTGTTATGTGTATTTGTTTGAGAACCCCCCTTATGAGTTATGATTTATTTATTTTTTAAATCCTAATGGAGGACCTAAAAAAGATGACCTTACCCAGCCGTTGAAAAAAGCACATTATACGTTTTATTCCAGCCAATGCCGATGTTGGCTTTTTTGTTGGCTTTTTCGTGTTGGTTATTATACGCACAACCAGCTGGCCCATGTATTGTTATTATTAATTAATTAACGGTCCACATATTTTTTGAAATTGGAGCTGAATTGGCATAATCGTATTAGCCAAATTTCACACATTTTGGGAGTATAAAATTACCTTCATAGCAATGTTAGGTCCTAAAAAAGCAACTGGAACGTCATAAATAAGAATAAAAGCAATAACCATGCACTTTGAAGTTTGAAGGCATTTGCGGTCTTAAACAAGAACTCAACTATCCCTGAATTGTAACTCTCATTTCAAAAGTGGATGTCCAAATTAAAAACCTGCACCCAACAAATATGAAGTACCGGTATCACCAATTATCTGGAAGAAATTTCATCACCAAGATCAAAGGTCAATTATGTTTGATTGAATGAATGGTGTTGATATCCAGTGGTTGGTTATTTCACCTGATTTTAGTCAATATGGACGAATTATCAAATTTCTCATTAAATATCAATAAGTAGTGTTCACTCTTATTTAATAGGCAAATTGCTAGGTGTAGACAAGACAGCATTATGCCGTTTAAATTGTTATTTGATTGCATTTTAACTGAAAAATACGCTTTTCAAGAGAAGTTAGTATAATGCCTCCTCAATTAATAAAAATCATTGTTTTTTTTTTTAATTGTACATCCACAGTCAGACTGGTTGGGAATTAAAATCATTGAGAACATTTACAAAGAAATTAAAGATAATGTAAGACATCAAATTGGAGATCAATATGAAAATATGAACTTACTGGCGGCAGTCAGGGGTGAACTTTCCTCCGATGTGGAATTTCTGGCAGCTCCTGTGGACTTAGTAGTTCCTGTAGTGAAAGAAAACAGCACTCACATTAGCATTTGGTTAAATGAAAATAGAAATGTTTCCAGATAAAAAAATTCAAGAAGATATTACGATGCAACATTTCTGTTTCAAAGTTTAGTGTAATTGATGCACGTCTTATATACAAAGTCTGACTGGTTGGGGCTTTGAATCTGCAATCACACTTAGGAAATGAATTGAAGATAATTTAAGACTTTAGATTGGTTGATCTCTCTCATACAAGGCAACAACTGGACAGACAAACAACATCTTAAAGCATTGATTATAAGCAAAGGTGACTATGAAAACCAGACTTCTACGACACCTGGCTGTCTCTTGTTGGGTGGCAGTACATTATGCACCAGTGCATTTGCATTGGTCTACAGCGCTGCGCAGGATGCCTCATCTGTATGGTGCCAAAGTACCCATACTAAGAATCTAGATACAGTCCTCACCTTGCGTCCTCGTATCACTGGATATCTCCACCCTAATCCAACAGAGTAATTTAACTTGATCCAATTGCTCCCAGGCATCGCCCCCATTCACATAGCAAGAAGAAAAAAAAATTGAAATCAACGTCGGGATAAGAACTTACTAGGAGTACTTATAGATGGATGTTCGGCATTTGAAGTTCTGTCATTTGAAGTTCTGTCATTGGTGACTAGTACCTTATTTAGTCCTGTAATAAAGAAACAGCACAACATCCACAATTAATCAGATGTAATTTCTTCCTCAATACTTAATCTGCTCCAGTGAAATCTTGAAAATGAAGAAGTGTTCTTTCAAGTATGACACAAAAAACACTTCAAAAGTTTGTTGAAATCCATCTTCCAGAGGAATCTAGGGTAGCACATAATATTGGACTTGGCAGTATGCAGGGATGTCAAAAGCATATTTGTATACCGGGTGCCATTCATGACAATTTAGTTTTCAACCTTCGCTACCAATGCCCAATTTCACATTTTCTAAGCTGGAATGGTAGAAATATCTGCCTATTTTATTTTGAACTTGATCTGTGGTTGGTGTTCCTGCCCACTGTAGCTCAATCCCGGACAATACATTGATTAAATGCACTAAGGAAAATGGAAGGCAAACATTTCTTAAGGAAAGAAAATATGATGGTAGACTCACTAGCAGCAAGTTCAACTATCATGAATTCAGGGAGCAACTAAGCTCACAATAGACATGTCTGTGGGAAGAATTATCGAAGTAGTAGTATGTAAAATGTAAATGTTAGCATTTTGTGCTTTGGTATGGTGTGTTGTAAGTCACAGGACCAGATAATATTAACTTTTATAAGTAGAGGCACTACGAACCGTGAGTCGCGAAGCGGCTCACCGCCTATAATCACTGGTCTAGCTTTAGTCGTTGTTTTTTTTTATTATCGACCATGAATCCGTGGCAGTTTTCGTACGAAAAACTGCCACGGATTCATGGTCGATAATAAAAAAACAACGACTAAAGCTAGACCAGTGATTATAGGTGGTGCGCGGCTCACGGTACGTAGTCTCGCCGTATCAGACGTTCTGCTTAAGGTTAGTCTAGCAGCAAAGAAAAAAGCTCGGCACTCCGCCTAGATTATAGGCTAACATGACCCAAGTTTGGCAGGAATATATAACGCGATCACAAGCTATTTTTGAAAACATAATGAGCCCTGTGACCTTTGACCTTCAAACTCGTGACCCCAAAATCCAATCAGCTCATTGGCTCTGTAAGATACATACATGACCCAAGTTTGGCAGGAATCTATTGACCGGTACTTGAGATAACGCGATCACGAGCTATTTTTGCATACATAATGAGCCCTGTGACCTTTGACCTTCAACCTCATGACCCCAAAATCTAATCAGTTCATTGGCTCTGTACGATACATACATGACCCAAGTTTGGCAGGAATCTATTGACCGGTACTTGGGATAACGCGATCACGAGCTATTTTTGCATATATAATGAGCCCTGTAACCTTTGACCTTCAACCTTGTGACCCCAAAATCTAATCAGTTCATTGGCTCTGTAAGATACATACATGATCCAAGTTTGGAGGGAATACATCAATTGGTTCTTGAGATAACGCGATCACGAGAACGGGACGTACGGACGGACGGACGGACGGACGGACAACCAGAAAACATAATGCCTCCGGCTACTTTGTAGCGGAGGCATAAAAATTAAAGGGAAATATAATTGCCTCAATAGTCTTATTAACAAATTTCATCCCATTTGTGGGAAGGGGGGTAATTAATATTCCATGACAGCTGCTCAACCGCTGCAGATCGCGACTTGCCTTTTCATGACTTTTGCCTCTTTTAAGTTTCTCGCAACTCTTGCAACAAATCATAAAAATAAAGCGATACATGAGAAATAAAAACAATAGAATAGATCAGAAATTAGTAAAACAATAGAATAGATCAGAAATTAGAAAAACAATAAGAATACTAAGGTATAGATTTGAAATTTGATTTCTTTTTTTTAATACAAAATTGTTGACTATGCTACTCAGAACTTTTGACCTTCATAAAAGAATCCAATATGTAAAAATTGTCATCTAATTATTTGCCTAAATTGTGATGAACTAATAAATAAATGACTGTAACAGTGTACTTCATATGCATGTCAATATCTGTGCAAAATTATCAAAAGATGATGAAACTTACTTGCAACTAGAAGACGTGGTGGTGTGTTGGGAGGTTTACTTGTTCTTCTTCACTTTCCGAGATTGTGTCACGACTGTTGTCCATGATCATTTCACAGTCATCATCGTCATCTTCATCTATGTATTTGGAATTCTTCCTAAAATATAAATTTCGCAACATGCGTAAGCTGGTGAATATTTCATTAAAGAAAAAAATGCATGATCTATTATATGTGACCCAATAACAGGCAATTGTCAGCAGAGACTTTCTATTTCATTGCACGAGTGGCTAATGAGCTTTAATTTAATGTATCACTTAGTTACAATTTTAAAGAACAGGTCATCTATAGACTTTTAAAGTGGAAACTTCAAACAATTTTTTCAAAATGTGTTTGCTGTTGCTGGATTTAATTGCTAAGTATCTCTAGTAATATATTTCAGATCTAAACATTAACTCAGTCAATTCCACCTGCTACCTGGCCCTGCACTAGAAAACTTATTTTTAGAGGTACTTATCACAGACAAGAATTCACGACTTTGATTAATCTATGCAATATATTGGAACCTACTTCCTCTTCCGCTTCCTGATGCTTAAATCCTCCTCAGAATCGCTTGGGTTGCTAGTTGCGACCAATTTCGTGCACCTTCTGTTGGCACGATCCCATGACTCTGTAAAGCAAAAAAAACACAAAAAACATCCTCATCAAATTAGATCAAGTACTGTAGATACAGAGAAATTTGATTCCCCCCCCCCCATGCTTTTCAGTCTTATTGAATACTTGCCACACATAATACAAAACTTAACAATATACTTAAAGTTGAACTTGTGATTTGAGGTCATATGACATAGCACAGAATATCCCTGACCACCATACTTTATTTATTTGTTATTTATTTATGTTATGTTATTTCATTTTTTTTTGGGGGGGGGGGGGGGGTACCAATTGCATAGTGAATCTTCTAATATCAAGAAAATTTATTCTTGTATTGTATTCATTACATTTAATACAGGATTATAACAATTATACACTAAAATGTTTCTTTACCTGTGGTAAGCCACTCCTTTTTAACTGGGAAAGATTTCCACAGGTCCGTTGGAGGTTCTCCTTTCTTAGCAGCCTTTATCACCCGTGGTGCAGTGTAATGCTCCGGGTACAGGAAGCAACCATTCCCTTCTGTGTCCCTCCAGGTTTCTGGTACGACTTCTAGAGATGTCTCTCCGCTCCCAGCCTCCTTCTCAAATTCTACTATCACGTAGTTCAATGGCATTATCTTTAAAGATTTTGAGAAGTGACAAATTTGTTGTGATACTGTGATTTTAATTGTACACTTACATTAAAATGTGTATGTACAGTAATTGTAGTAAAAGTATTCTCTTTCCCACTCATCTTCAACACAATTTCTAAGTCATTTCTATGCTTCTGATAATAATACTTCCAACTTCATGGACTAAAGGATACACTGTAGCTTCACAGCAGATTGCTGATCCCTGTACACAAGCAGTGAGCAAGATACGCAAGCCAAATTACTGGAAATTGGGGGGGGGGGACCATAGGCCTGTTTTCATCAGCTTGAGATTGCCGCTATTTAAACTATCCCAATCGCAAATTATCCAGCTAATTTGGGTCTTCATCAGCCTGCAGTTGCAATTAGCGGGATATTTTGTCGAGATATTTTGTCGAGATATTTTGTCGAGATATTTTGTCGAGAGCCGACAGCCCAGAGATATGGCTAGTGCAAAATGTCATCATCAATATCTACCCGACAGCTCAAAGAAAAAATATATATTTTGATAGATCTGTCAAGTCTCAAACACTTCTTAACTATCCTTCACTAAATGCAGCTAGATGTATTCAATCATTAATAAACAAATTGCATCTAGATGTATTCAATCATTAATAAACAAATTGCATAAGAGTTCATTGATACAAGAGTTGCGTTACTGTACAAACTACAGAAGATTCTTGTAAGTAATAATCTGAACTCAGACAGAAAATTCAACAAAACTGGTGGACAAGGGGCACAAGTACAAATGATTCCTTATAAGGAATTCGGTACAACTTGCAAACAATTTCAGATAGCTTTTCGGCTTTCAGAGTATCAGATAATCGACTGACTTTCACAATCCCAAGGTCTGAAGAATCCAGTGGGCGCTGGAAAAAGTTGTCAACCCTCATAAATTGTTGAAACATCACCATCACAGTCAAATTCTGTGGATCCTGAATAATGTTTCTTATCAGCCCGTATCGTGAACCAATTTGAATGCAACTGTCACTGTCCTTTGCTGAAAAGTAAAGGCCATTGAATTGTACATATCTGTGCTGTGTTAAGTGCCTTTTGTGGGCAAGGAGGATTGGACCGTCTGTATGCTCAGGCCCCAAACAAAAGTCATTCGACTTTTTTTCATCCTTTCCTCCTATTTTATTCTCAGATAGTCTTCGTATCACTTGAGGTAGACACCTATGCGGTTTACGTACCACTTTTTTCAATCTCCCAAGAAAACTTTCAAACGGGAAGGCAGAATACGAATCGAGAGGACCGAATTTCTTGGCATCAGCTGCCAAATGTGTTAGCCCATGGACATTATATACAAGCATATCTCGCCCATACAAGCCTGCCCACATTTTAACAAATGTGTCAAGCAATTCCTTAACATAGTCACAATATGTCGGCAAGTACAATGAACTGGATAAACAATATATTGAAACAGATAAGAGAAGAAAATGGAGATAAACATCATCTGAGAGTTTACCTTTCAATACGACAGGTCCACTGTAAATTATAAATTGGCGCAATTCAGTAGCTTTCCACCTTTCAAATTCACTTAGAGGTCGACACTTCCTTGGAAATTCCCGAGGAACAAATGGTCGACAAGATAGAAGACAATCTGAAATTTGTCTACGCATATTTGCACTGATTCGACATCTAATTGGTCCTTTGGTCCAGCTCCAAATTAGCCTTTTCACAACACCTAGATGAACAAGGTGCATTGGATCAAGCGGAAATTGGGAAACTAATCCAACTGATAACTCAGAAATTGGAGATTTGTTATTATGGTGTTCTTTCT